GTGGGTGTGTTTGTGTGGGTGGGTGTGTGTGTTTGTGTGTGTGTGTTGATCTCTGACCTCTCTGTTCTGCTCTGCAGGGGGTGGGGAGGCGCTATGCTCATGTGGTGCTGAGGAAAGCCGACATTGACCTGAGCAAGCGGGCTGGAGAACTCACTGAGGATGAGGTGCGCTTCATTTTCAGCAGAGAAAACCGTCATAAAACACCAAAGCGTTCGCTTTGTTTTAAATATCAGTCACAGAACTGGTGCTGCGCTTTACAGACACTGAAGAATTATGATCAAATAAGGAGGAGAACATTGTGAAATTTGCTACAATTGACCACAAACAAGACCATATCAGTTATTTTGAAGTCTCAAATGAAAATGAGGTGTGATCGTGTGTGACTCCGTACAGGCGTTCACAATAACGTTGATTGATTGATTGATTGATTGATTGACAGGTGGAGAGGGTGGTGACTATTATGCAGAATCCTCGCCAGTACAAAATCCCTGACTGGTTCCTGAACAGACAGAAGGACATTAAAGACGGGAAATACAGTCAGGTACGCTCAGAGTGCTGCTTCAAACTTCATTGTTTTAGTATGATTTTTTTGTCATGATAAAGGGTCGACTGCAAAATCTGGTCTTTCTTGGGCTTCTGGGCTTGTCTGAACATACCGTGTTGAAGAGGCCCTGTTAGTGGGTACCGACTGGACCCTGATTGTGTGTGTGTGTGTGAGGCGAGGCGGATAAGAAGCACTACTCAGATTATTTTTGTTCTGGAACTGCTGCGTGAGGTTTAGTAGGCTGTGTAATATCTGAACTGCTTTTAAAAAAATCTTCTGAATCTGTCCGTGATGAGCTGATTAGACCTGCCTATATTTTATCTAATGTTTAAGCGGAGCCCGTCTTAAATCTGAACGCAGGGCTCCACACTAACATGAGAGCGGTGGCCCTGACGTCTGCAGATCCTCTATAGCAGGGTTCCTCAAATCTTACCCTGGAGGTCCAATGCGCTGCAGAGTTTAGCTCCAACCCTGATCAAACCCACCTACCTGTGATTTTCTAATGATCCTGAAGACATTGATTAGCTTGCTCAGGTGTGTTTGATTAGGGTTAGAACTAAACTCTGCAGGAAAGTGGATCTCGTGGGCCAGATTTGAGGATCCCTGCTCTATAGTATTAGATATGTTTTATATCATGGTAACCACAGGTGACCATGACTGTCTCCTCACTAGCATGGTAAGAAGAGAACTGTTAAACTGTGCTGTTTATGAAAAACGCTGTCCGAAACATTTAGTATCGTTATGAAGCTGTGGCATTTATAACAATTATTTACTGTATTTCTTTACTCTTGCAAGACATTTGCACAATATATGGGACTGTAATAATACCGTGATATGCAATACAAATTTACCACATTTCTGTCCGAAATACCATGATTACTGTTAGTGGTACTGAAGCAGGTCCTTATGAAATACTGGTGCGGTTTCATCAGGCGTTAAACTGGTTTAAATCACTGAGGCTTTCGGGCTCTCACTGGAACCTGCAGCACAGCTTAATAATGGTGTCACAAGCTGCTAACGCAAATGTTTCCTTAACTCACCTGAAACTCTGGTCTTCAAGTGCAGTGTGCTCGTCTTCGGCACGAGCCGTTTAGAAGGACGCCCTGTGTGGAGGAGGTGTAGTTTCAGTAACTGAGTGTGGATGTGGTTTTCTGCAGGTCCTCGCTAACGGTCTGGACAACAAACTGAGAGAAGATCTGGAACGTCTGAAGAAGATCAGAGCTCACCGCGGCCTGCGTCACTTCTGGGGGTGAGTTTCTGCAGCGCACGAGTCTAGGGTCTTAAAGAGAGTGCTCCGAGACACGGGCGACTTCCTGCTTAAATGCAGCACTTAGTTAAACGTTACTATTTACAACGTTGTTTCTGCAGCGTTGAGCGATATAGCCAATCACGGGCAGATCTGTTGCGCAGTGGCCAATCAGAGGCATTTTAGTTGGTCAGAATTCACTCACTGCTGAAAGGGCCGGTGTTTTTAAGAGCAGTCGTAACTAACAAATTACAGATGCGATGTAAACAAGATCCATTGTGCAGTTTAGAGAGCTTCGTTGATATCACAGAACTTACGGATGCTTTTTAGTGATGATAAAGGGAGTGCTTTCTATGCTATAATCCATTCAGAATTTGCATTAAACTTTTGTTTTTTTGGACGCATACACACTGCAAAGTTTCACTCTCGGGATAGCCGTGATTGACACCGTGATAAACATAGCAGTGAGATCAGTTCATGGACCAAAAACCTGTGTAAACTTTGAGATCTGGACATATCAACCAGTAATTTAATTTCCAGTAGCTGACGGTAGAAAGTTCAAATGTGATTTTCTGACTGAATCTAGTCCCACAGCCAACTCGAGAGAGAGAGAGATGTTGCTCATGACCAGGAGATGTGTTCGGTGAGTGATGTGATGGATGGTTTACTCTGTCGTCTCTTCTCTCCTCTAGTCTGCGTGTGCGCGGTCAGCACACCAAGACCACCGGTCGCCGCGGCCGAACTGTGGGAGTGTCCAAGAAGAAGTAAACCTTCAATAAAAGACAACTGTTTAGCCAATCTGTGTCCTGCTCTCTGTCTTCACTGATCCTCTCAGCTTATCACTATAGCTGTAATCTATCAGTTCTGCGGTAAGATAATGAGCTACCTCTGATTCGATACTGGTCCTTTATAAGACACTGAGAAGACAGTTAAAGGGATAGTTCACCCAAAAATTAAAATTGCCATTAATTACTCCCCCTCATGTCGTTCTAAACCCATAAGACCTCCGTTCATCTTCAGAACACAGCTCACTGACCCTGCATAGACAGCAATGTAATTACCACGATCAAGGAGATCTGTGAAATAATCCATGTGACATCAGTGGTTCATCCGCAATTATACGAAGCTACGAGAACACTTTTTGTGCGCAAAGAAAACAAAAATAATGACTTTATTCAACAATTTGTCTCCTCTGCGTCACCCTGGTGCCATTTTGGAGAATATCGACTGAACGCAAACTGTATGCTATTCTGTGTCAGCTGCGAAAGTATTCTCGTAGCTTCCTAATACTACGGTTGAACCCCTGATGTCCCATGGATTATTTTACAGATCTCCTTGCTACGTTTCTGGACGTTGACCGTGGTAATTACATTGCTGTGTATGGGAGGGTCAGAGAGCTCTTAGATTTCATCAAACATATCTTAATTTGTATTCCGAAGATGAACGGAGGTCTTACGGGTTTGAAGCGACATGAGGGTGAGAAATTAATGACAGAATTTTCATTTTTGGGTGAACTAACCCTTTAAGGGCATCAGTTATAAGCCTCATCTTCCAGGCTCCAGATTCGTCCAGTTTAACAGTCTCATAGTCCAGTATAAATGTGTCCATCTTTATTAATGAAAAAGATGCAGTAAGGCAGTTTTTTTAAGGCATGGGTGAATATGTACAAAAACTAATTAGGAAAGTAATGAAAACCATTTTAACCACTACATCCAGTTTTTCTCTTGAATGCGGATTCATTTCTGTTCCTCTGATTTCAATTCTATGAAAGCTTGTTTCCACCTTGCTTGTGACTTTTTAATCTCCAAATCCTGACCTTTTTTCTCACATTTGTTTTTTGTTACCGAAACAAAATAACGTAATTATAATTGGGACTTTTATTCTCATAATTGTGAGGGGGGAAAAAGTTGCAATTCCCTTTTTGTTTTTATTTTGTGGTTGAAACAAGTTTCCATTCAATTCAGATTCACGAATGTGGCCACCTTTTTAAAAAGAAAAAAAACATCATGAAAGTGTCTGTTGCTCTTTATATGTCATTTCTGACCAGAGCCTGGGGTATGTTATAACCTTAATATTAGGGTTGTTAATACATTAAAATAACCAATTAGTCTCACAATTGTAATCATATTGCAGTCACTTCCATTTAAAACAGACCACATTAAATCAGTTTGGCTATCGTAAACCGTCATCCATCAGATCCATCCAAACTCATCTTCTATCAACCCGAGAGGCAGGAGAGAAGTGAAGAAGTGGTGAAAACAAGCATTTAAATCACTGAATTAATGAAATTATAAATGAACAAGAACAGAAAAGGACACAAAAGGATGGCTGCTACCAAGAATCCATAGATCTACAGACTGGCCAAAGGGAGTTTTCTTTACTCTTCTCTTAAATCTTTAAACATGGTATTTCACCAGCACACAACGCTGCAGAGGACTTGCTGAATTTAGGGCCTGTCCCGAACCCCACAGGTGCAGTCTATACGCACTACTTGTCTATTTACATGAAGGTGTGGAGAACATCTGTGACCTGATGGGACACATTTACGACTTTATTAACACATTGAGATTTTCAACACTTTACACTTTAAAATAAGCTTAGAAACGTCTGTTCAGTCTGTGACAGACAACACAATTTAATAGTGATTAACACAATTTAATAGTGATAAAGAGCAGTTACAATTGTTTCATGAAATATACAGTCATCATTTTATCACTAAATTATAATCGCTAATTAATTAAACAGACTGGAATGCCTCTCGTTGATTTCAGGGTACGCAAACTCCTGAATATGAGGAATGATGGGATGCACTCGGTCTCAGACATCACAGTGAGAGAGTGCGTGCGTGTGTGTGAGAGAGTGCGTGCGTGCGTGAGTGTGTGTGTGTGAGAGTGCGTGCATGCGAGAGTGCGTGCGAGAGAGTGCGTGCGTGCGTGAGTGAGTGAGTGAGTGCGTGTGAGTGAGAGAACGAGTGCGTGTGAGCGTGAGTGTGTGTGTGTGTGTATGTGTGAGTGAGTGAGTGAGTGAGAGTGTGTGTGTGTGTGTGTGT